CCTGTCTTTAGTACCCAGTTTCCCATCCGCAGAAGCACCAATGTCTTCGGAAAACATCAGGTCTTCAAAAGGCATCAGCATTAGACAGAGCAGAGTCCCTAAGGGGACCAGATTACAAACGTAATTTTCTCCTTCTTTGGATTGCTTAGTGTGTAAACAATGTCATGGTGCTAATCCATTTAGGCATTAAGTCCATGGCCTCATCTGCACTGTATTCCTTTTCACTTGAGCACCATCTAGGGCAACCAAGATTTTAATTTAAGGCTTTGAAGGCTGATCTTGGGAAAATCCCCTTCTTTGACACTTGAACTCTGTTGGGTATTAGGAAAAAGTGGGAGAAAGTGAGGCAGGAGGCTGGGTATATAGTGGAGTTACGGGAGAGGAGAGGGGGCTATCCCGGCACTGAGAGTAGCAGGGAGAGGGGAAAGCAGAGGAGATCTTGGCAAAAAACCCCTTTTTTCCCCCCTCTTTCTCACGAAGGAAGGGGTCACGGTGCACCCCGGAGGAGAGGAAGAGCTCCCGCAGTGCAGAAGCACTGCAGCAAGCCATCCTAGGCTGAAAGTCAACTGAGACTTCTCTGCGTGCGGTACGTCTTGCTGCACCCACCATGCCTCCTTCTCATATTATTGTGAGTTTCATGATTCTCATTTATTATTCTTATTATTTCTTAGCATTTTGCACCTTGCACAATCTTAGATGTACACGGCAGCAGGCAGGAGCAGATTGCACCATGTGTTGGCTTGGCTGGGTAGTGCCCATGGTCACAGCCGTCCTCCAGGGAAGAAGTGCTGGGAAAGGGCAGCGAGATGCACGGCAGGCCTGGGAGAGCACCAAGTTCCCCCTCCCAGTGCCGGGCATGCCGGGACACGTGGGGCCTCCCCACCTCGTGATCTGCTCGGGTGTGGGGTGATTCAGCAGAAGGGCTGGGACTTCTCCCTCTGCATGTGACGTTATTTGGTCATCTTCCAGCACAATGCACTCAGAAACCGAAAGCGAACAGGCAGGGCCTGCTCATGTCACCACATTCAACCATGCCCTTGCCAGAGACGAGTGGGAGGAAGCGCCTCTGCGCTCCGCTGAGGAACCAGCCTGGGGAACAGCAGGCCACGTGACGCTGCTGCCCTCAATGCCACTGAGACAGGAAAACCAGTGTCGTCCCCCACCTAATTTCAGCTCGCTCACGCCTTCCTGGTGGCCTGGCAGAACCCACATGGTTCCCTCGCTCTACACCCCAAAAACACCCCGATAAAACCGGCCTCCTGCTGGAAGGTGCTTAGTGTACTTAGTGCCCACAGGCCGCGCACACTCCTCCACCTCAGGCGGCTGCAGTGATTTGCTGCAAAGGCCCTTTGCATGTTTCTAAAGCAAGCAAAGAACCCGGGCACCTCACGCAGGGTTGTGTCACAGATATCAGCTCTTCACCCAGAACAAGGTCCCTCCTCCAGCTCGTCCTGCCTCGCGGGGGACCAGCTGGTGTGCCTACTCCTTCTCAGGTAGCACTGGATTTTGAACATCTCTTGTTGTGTTTGGCACTCCCCAGTGCTTTAATCCCACTTACACTGAATGACAGCTCCAGGAGGGTGCGTGTAGCATACAGCTCAACAGCTTCAACAGCCTTTGACCGTGCTCTCCAGAAACGCCTCATCTCTGTGAGTCCAAGTCACACTTCCAGCTCAGAACAGGACAGGCTTCAGCATAACAGAAATAAATATCTGGAGGAGTACTAAGGATACCATTTATTTTCAAAATCACTAAAAAACCCAAACAAAACAGTTTATGGAGATACAGATTTACATAACACAGACAGCAAATTTGAAAATGTACAATCTATTTCATGTTATTGCACTCACTTTTTATAATATAATAACAAGGCATTTTAAACAGTTTTCATTAGAAGAAGTTTTATTTATATAAATAGAAGTGTAAATATACAATATCATACAAGTATATCAGCCTAATACACAAAACCTACCTAGGGTGGAATCCCCGAATCCCCATTTCTCACATGATCTAGTCTATCCCTCCTCAGTATTTCCACGTGTACATTTACACACCCTAAATGCAGAAGCATGTAAACATTCCTCTCTGGGAACGGCTTCTTCTGCCTTTGACAAGAACAACTGCATAAAATTAACCAGCGTTATTTTTAAGTGAGAGTTACTAGGAAACACGAATCACTCAACAGTTTCTTAATATGTAGTTGCCCTCAAATGAATCTTTTTTGGCAAGGAAATCCTCTGATATGGCTCCCTCCCCAGCTGATATTGCTTCCAGGTGCTAAATGCCGTAGGACATGCTATTGCACTATGTTCTCCTGCCCGGGCTGTGCAACCTGCAGAGCTGCTGCAGGCCCAGGTGGCAGCAGACAGCAGCCCTGCCAGACTCACTTCATCTAGGAGGAAATTCAGCCTCATCTGGAAAGCCCTCAGGATCCACCGGGATGGAGCACATCATTACAATTTCACTTCTTGTCTTCCTAGAGGTAGCTCTGAGTCACCACCACCTTCCTTGGGCTTGGGCAACTCTCCTGCGCAGACAAAACTGCCTCAGGGACCGACGCACCAACAGCAAGGCTAAAAATCCTCCCAAACCTACCAAATACTGATCAACTAATGAAACTCCCTCTGCCATTTTAGCATTACCAGGCACTCAGAAAAAGTAACATTTACTTTGCTAGATGTGTAACAGCAGGGTCCTTACCGCGGTTTATCTTTCCAACTCGTCCTTAATAAAACAGAACCATCTCCTACCAATTCTGGCGTTTTTATAGGGAATGTCACTTCAACAGAGGCATCCAGAAATACTACTGCAATGATTTCAGCACTGGTAGCGTCACTAAGATGTTTCCTGTTCCTTCACAAAAAAACAGTTGTTTTCAGGGACAGAAACAATCAGGGCTAAAGTAATCCTTTTCTTGCTGTAAAGTTAGTGCATAAGTGTGTCATTCTATCCCCATCAATACTAGACTTCAAACATTAAGTCTTTTAAATTATAGTCACTACTGAATCACACACAAAAATCCCCCCCCCTCTTTGCCGTTACTGACCCAACACACATCTACGTGCATGTAAAAGAAAATACTAAACAGTATTTGATTATTGGAAAACAAAAGCTCTCTAAATCACTCACAATGAACAGTACCTGCAAATAAGTGTCTGAAAATAGTCACCACATTTTCTTCTAAGACACCTCAAATCAAGCTTAATTTACAAAATGAAGATTTCACCTTGGAGTTCACACTGGCTTGGGAGTGAGGGAGCAATGTGCTCCCTGGGTCAGGACTTCAGGAATTTTAAAACATGGAAAGGAAAGAAATGCCATTTCCTAAAACACAACTGTGAGCTACCCTATGGAAGTAGCAAAAAGTCAGTACTGCACTTGTACGTATTCTACACATACAGGCACGTAGTCACTACGCTGCATTAAACTCCACATGCATTTTATATACCTATTATACACACTGCCGGCTACAATCAGATTTGGGGCGTTCCTGAACGAGGCCTCACAGTTTGTTCGTCATTGCCCAAAGTCTTCGTCCCGTTTTTCGAGCGACAAGCACAGCTAAGCTCTGTTTCCCAGCGTATCCCCGAGAAAGACTGAAACCTCTGGAT